CGGCCAGAGAAGCTGGAAAAAAAAAAAAAAAAAAAACCCCTAAACGAAAGGTGTTTGTGGTTGATGTATGGGAAAGGCAAAGACAATGAATGAAATGCCGTATATCAGTTGTGTTGCAAAGGTGTAATACATGGACTTTTGGTCTTTTTGTTGAATGTAATGACATGTATGAGTTGTGTTTTGATGATTTTGTTTCCAATTGGCCAAAGGGTCATATAAGCAAGCAAGCAAACATAAGTGTTGCAACACTATTAAACCAAAACATATCCATTGCAGGCAAAGATATCCATTACAAAACATATGTGTTCCAAAACATATATGTGTTCTAACAGTAATCCAACCAAAACATTTGTGTTCCAAAACTAATCCATTGAAATCAGTCTGAGAATCCTAGGAACATATCAGCTACAAATTCATCAAAATAAAATGTTCCAAAACATATCCATTACATAAGCAGTCCTAATGTTTTGGTGTTCCGAAAAACCAAAATTAGCCCGATGACCACATATGACCAAAATCAGCAAATCGCAACTACACTCTTAATGGCCTTGGTTTTTTTGGTAGAGGTACATTTTCTGAGTTTGGTTGAGAAGCATGCCAAATTTGAATTCCTTGTAAGGTAGCACCAGTTTGAGCAAGTTGCCTTGTTAGTTCAGACAGTTGCCCCCCTCTTCTTGCCTAATTGAATGACAAAAATAAGCAAATCAATCCAAATTTGATTTAAACATTTAATGTAATTATTGAAAGCAAATCAATACATATGGTATTACCCCAAGCTTTGTTCTTCTAAAAGGTCTATCTTGGATTGAAGTCTCAGCTTGATCTGGTTGTCTAACAAGAACACTTGGCACACTTGTTCCCCTTCCCCCGCCTCGAACTCTTATTGCCTTTGCCTCTAGCTTGTTCCTTGAACAAAAAATAATAAAAAAGTTCATATCAAATAAAGGACCAACTTGCACCTTCAAGAAAGTTTATATCAACAGAAATAATCACAATCTTCATACCTGTCTTCCGCCTCTTTCTCCATTGTGACCTTCACCTCCACAAGTTTTACAACAAATGACAATCCCATATCTCTTCAGCTTTGTTGCATTTTTTGGTATCTCATCAGGTTCCTTTTGCCTACTTGTTCTAGGCCTTCCTGGTTGTTTGTGGTAAAGAGGTGGCTTGATGGGTCTATTTCCTGTTTTTCTCCAGTATTCTTGACTAGGCATTGGAGATATATAACTCTCATAAGCCTTGTCATATGCACCTCTTTTGTAAAGTGAATGCACAAAGTCATAATGACTCTTCTCTGTTCTGGCAATTGCAGCCATAGAATGTGAACAAGGGATTCCACATAAGTCCATAAGTCCCACTTTCTGCAAGTGCACGTGTGCCTCTCCAAATCCACTACATACATCCCACCATGGATGTTATTAACTTGATATTTCCCCCCACCAACATATGATGCTATGCATTGAGCACTCTTAGTTGTTAGCTTATCAACAATTCCAAAAATCCTAGGACCAACATCATGTGTCCAAACAATTTCTCTAAGTCTAGCCATTCTTAGCATTAAATAACTACGAATTCTCTCTAGTAGTGTCAGAATTGGCTTATCCCTTGCTTCAATAATAGCTGAGTTAAAAGACTCACACAAGTTGCTAAGAAGCGTATCACACTTAGAATGAATTGAGAAGTATAACCTACTCCAATGATTTGCTGGCCTTTTTTGAAGCCATCTGTAAGCTGCATCTGATTGAGAT